AACTCAATACAATTACATGAATTGTGGGTAAAAAAGGGTATCGTTCCAGATGAAAATCCTGAAGATTTTAATAGAGAAAATTTCCCATTTAAAGTCTTAGGTATGGCATGGGATAATTCAAAGGACTTACTATATTTTGATGTTCGGAACTTATTGTCTTTCACATCTAAACCAATAGAAACAAAACGATTTCTTCTACAAGTGTTGGGTTCGGATATTCGATCCGATTGGAATTTTAGGACCTTTCACTGTTAGAATAAAGTGCTTAATACAGAAGATTTGGTTGTCACAAATAGATTGGGATGAACCGTTACCTGAAGATTTGTCCTCTGAATGGAGAAGGTGGTGTGAAGAGCTACCTCAAATGTCTGGAGAAAGTGGTGTGAAGAGCTACCTCAAATGTCTGAATTCTCCATCTCTCGTTACCTTTTCATGCACTCGAACATTAATGTCGAAAAATCTCGAACTACATTGCTTTTCAGATGCAAGTGTCAAAGCCTATGGTACAGTCGCATATTTACGTTTCACGACAGAAAATAAAGAAATCAAAACGGCCTTTGTCTCTTCTAAAAATAGGGTTAGCCCCACTAAAATCCCTTACTTTACCGAGGTTAGAATTAATGGGAGCATTGTTATCAGTTAAGTTAGTCAGCAATATTCTGAAAGCACTGAAATTGAGAATTCCGTGCTATTTTGGACAGACTCAACAATTACTTATTTTTGGATCCAGAAACAACCTGAAGCCTTCAAACCCTTGTCAGGAATCGTGTCGAAGAAATACAAAAATTGAGTTCACCTCAAGATTGGCATTATTGCCCAGGTGTCGACAACCCTGCCGATCTCGTATCTCGGGGAACGAAGATTTCCAAGTTAATAAATGAGACCATTTGGACGCAAGGTCCCCAATGGCTTCAACTCCCTCACGAACTTTGGCCAAGATTAGATATTAAAGAAACAATAGATGAAAACAAGCTGGAATACCGAAAGAGATCCGGTGATATACATCAACTTGAATGTACAATCGAAAAAAGTGAAAAAAGTGCAGATGATCTTTTCGACATATCAAAATATAGAAAATTAGAGAAGGTGTTAAGAGTCACTGCTTGCACAACACGTTTCATTAAAAAATTAAGAAAAACTAGCGACATTCAAGGAACTCTCACAGCTGAAGAGTTACAAGAAGCAGAAAATTTCTGGATAAGATCAGAGCAAAGAAGTTTTTTGCCGAAGAATATGAATCCCTCAAAGAAGGTAATTCGGTTGGAAAAAAATTCTCCTTTGTATAATTTTCTTCCTTACATTGATGAAAAGGAAATCATGAGGTTGAGAGGAAGACTGGAATTTTCTGACTTCTCACTAGATAATAAACATCCAATAATCTTACCTAAAAATTCTCGACTAACGATTCTGATTGTATGCAAAGAACATGAGAAGATAATGCATGGAGGAATTGCTGCAACTTTAGCTAAAGTCAGATCACGCTTCTGGATTCCTAAAGGACGACAGTTAGTCAAAAAAGCATTAAAAGGTTGTATAATTTTCCAAAAATATTTAGCTAAACCAGCAGACCAGATGACAGCACCCTTACCAAAGGATAGAATCCAAGAATCGCCTCCATTTGCAGTCTGTGGAATTGATTTCGCCGGACCAGTTTACGTAAAGAGTTCTAAAGACATTCGAAAATCCTATATTGTTTTGTTCGTTTGTGCAGTAACCCGAGCTGTACACTTAGAACTTGTATCAGATATGTCAACAGAATCCTTTTTACTTGCATTTCGCAGATTTTTGAGCAGAAGAGGAAACTGCGTAATCATCTACTCTGACAACGCCAAGACCTTTAAGAGGGCAAAGAAAGAACTTGAGAATTTTTCGAAAGTTTTAAAAGATGACAAATTCAAGAATTTCATTGCCAAAGAAAGAATCCATTGGAAATTTATAATCGAACGAGCCCCATGGTGGGGAGGGTTTTATGAGAGACTTGTTAGATCTGTTAAAGAATGTTTAAGAAAAATCGTAGGAAAAGCATTGTTGACTTTCGAAGAAATGTCTACAACTACTTGTCGAAGTGGAGTCAGTTCTTAATTCACGACCTCTAAGTTACGTTTACAACGACAATGACGAGCCGCAACCGTTGACTCCAATGCACTTCTTAAACATTGGACAAACTGATTTGAAGTATCCTTTGACCTTTGCTAGAATCATCGGTAGCGAAACGACAAGAAAAACGCTGTTGAAAAGAAAGCGTTATCAAGAATTGCTGTTAAAACAGTTGTGGTGGAAATGGAAGCAACAATATTTATTAGATCTTAGAACTGCCCATTTCTTGAAGAATCCGCAACTTCAACCAGAACTAAAAGTAGGAGATGATGTTTTAGTCGAAGGAGATAATAAAAACAAACTCTTATGGAAACTTGGTAGAATCATAAAAACTATTCCTGGACGTGATGGTAAAGTCCGATCATTCGAATTAAAAACTGGTAATGGGACTTTAAAACGTACTGTTCAACATCTATATCCTCTTGAACTTTAGATATTTTGAACTTTAACGATTTAGTTATGCTTTTTTTCTTTTTTGTCTATTAATGATTAAATTGAATATTATTAGTTAAGTTTGTTCAGTTAAGTGGAAAATATTTTAAAATTTAGTTCATTTATTAGTTATAACATTTATTATTTGATACCTGTATTGGAATTGAAGTGTTTGACTAATTAGTATATTTTAATATTTTTATAGAATAGTGATTTATGTACTTGATTGTATGTATAACTGAGTTAGATGAACTCTTGTCAGAGTTCAGGTGGGGAGTGTGTTAAGGAATATTCTTTGATATCGCCAAGAGATGGCGTTAGGAGTCCATCTATTGGCTTACTTGACCTTTCCCTTCTGAACACGTGACTTGAAAAAATATTCTTCTTCTTGAAGGTAGAATTTCGATGCACTACGCAATAGAATTCGATTTAGATTTAAGCTGGAACTATTCAGTTCTTGCCTCTTGAGCATTAAATATTCGATTCAGGCATTTTAGCCTACATTGTATATATGTAAATATTAAGTTTAATTAAAATTTATGGAAAACTCTCCAGGCCATGCATCTCGTACTTTGGATTATGAGTGATTCGACTTTGATATAGAACTTTCGTTACACGGTAAACCGTAGTACTGAAGTTGGATGTGTTACGTGTGACCAGAATGTCGAGAAACGGAAGAGAATTGCAAGTCTCAAGTTCAAAAGTGAACTGAATAGCAGGATCAATAGAATTCATTGTTGAAAGAACTTTATTTAAATCATCTTTTTACCTTCAAACAGAGTAAAAGTATCGTCTACGTAGCGGAACCATGCCGGGAAGTTTAAAGTTTCAAACAATTTTGATTCATAATAATGCATGTAGATATCAGCCAGGATGGGACTGAGGGGGCTTCCCATGGCTAATCCCTCAGTTTGCTTGTAATATTTATTTTGGAAAACAAAATGTGTTTGTTTCAAACAGAGTTGAGTGAGAGAAATTAGCTCATCAATTTCGATGCAAGAGAAATGAAATTCGCGAAGTCTGGTTTCTAGACATCTTAATGCACCCTCCACTGGTACATTGGTGAATAATGATTTTACATCAGAAGAAACCATGAGTAAATTACTAGGAGAAATGTTTTTAACTTTTTTTACAAACTCTATTGAATTTCTTATGGTGTAAATGTTATTGTCTAATAGAGTTGAAAATCTAGAAACTAAATATTTAGCTAATGGATACGAGGCAGTACCTAAATTTGATACAATAGGGCGGAAAGGAATACCACTTTTATGAATTTTGGGAAGAGCATATAATCTGGCACAATTCGCAACAGATGGGATAACTGAATGTGTTTAAGTTGGTTGAAATGATTTGCGAAGATTTGATCGCAGTTTTATTTTTGACAAATCCGAAGGTTGAAGGATCTTTAGGGATCGGATTATATGGTCCTTCGTTTAAGAGTTAGTGACACCATCGATGTAAGTGTTCCTATCCATGACGACTATCTGGCCACCTTTGTCGGCCTTTGAAATAATAATATCCGGGTTAGAATGAATTTCACGCAATGTAGCTCTTCTCTCGCAGTTAGATTTGGTTTCAAAGGTTATTATTGAATTTCACATTATGAGCGATAAGATGCCTAATCATTTCTTTCTGTGAATCTGAAACTTTTTTTCGATAGGAGCTAAAATCTTTGGAATCGAGGTTTACAGGTTTGTGAGAAGTTTAAAATTATATTTTAATTCTCTTCTTTCTCTTAAAGCTAACATTAGAAATATTAACTTTGGCTTGATGTTTAAGGTTTTGTGAGAAGTTTAAAATATATTTTAGATCTCTCTTGTTCTTCTGAATGATAAACATTAGAAATATAACTATGGCTTGAACATGGGAAGATTTTTTGAACTACTTGAACTGGAAGATTGTAAAAGAAGTTTTTCGAATTTAACTGCAAGGGTGTTTATATGACGGTTAACTGCATTCTCCGTTCTAGACCAAGACTTTTGTTCAAGGGCAGTGAATTTTGGATATGATTTAGCGAGTTCCAGATGAAGCTTATAGAGTTCACGTTCAATTTTGGACAATTGTTGACGTGTATCCCTTATGACGGACCGAAGTAAGGCAAGCTTGCAATTTAACAGAATTCTTGAAACGCGACTCGAAGGTTTTTGATTAGATTTGATTTGAATAAAATTGGGGATCAATTTTCTACATTTACATTTAAGTAAAAAGTCAAGATGATTCAGGAAAGTTTGCCGTTTCAGGCGTAATTTAGTGAAACGATTAACGGATGAAGGCATGATAAACAATACAGAAAATCAAACTAAATTAACTAAACAATAATAAAGCACACACAAACACAGCAGAAAAATCCCTCACTGAAATTAATAGAAAACAAAACGTTTTGTAAGCAAAATGCATGAAATCAGACAAGCAAAGCACAATATCCAAATATACAAAATAAAACAACTTGAAAATTGCAAAAAAGTACTTACCGAAACTCATGCAATCACAAAATGGCAGCCACACCACGTGCAAAAAAGAAAGCAAAAAGTAAGCCTGTTTGGGGCTTCTATAATTAAGACACAATAACACGCCGAATAAATACTAATTCAGAAATCAAACAACAAAAATCAGCGTTATATTTACAAAGTTTTCACAGGACTAGTTTCGATGGTTTTACCGAACCACCATCTTCAGCTGCAAAACCGCAAATGAACAAGATAGGAAATAATGATTAGATAAGATAAGAAAGCCTGGACAAGAATAAGCAAGTGGCGCCATCTGTTGGTAAAACCAGAACTAAAACATAATTTCTTTAAAGGCCGAAGGCAAATTTGGATTGGAATTAGGATCGTTAACTAGAACAGAAAGATTTTTATGAACTAAGAGAGCCTTAAAATTTCGCGTCAAGGAACATGAGGCATATGTTAGAAAAAAGGAAACACAGAAGTCTTCTGTTGCTCAACATTGTTGGTCCGAAAACCACACTTTCAGTTTTTCTGCTGCCAAAATTATTCAAAAAACATCTTCCATTGGAGAACTGGATTTTCTAGAGGCATTTCACATTCATAAAAATCTTTCTGTTCTAGTTAACGATCCTAATTCCAATCCAAATTTGCCTTCGGCCTTTAAAGAAATTTATGTTTTAGTTCTGGTTTTCCAACAGATGGCGCCACTTGCTTATTCTTGTCCAGGCTTTCTTATCTTATCTAATCATTATTTCCTATCTTGTTCATTTGCGGTTTTGCAGCTGAAGATGGTGGTTCGGTAAAACCATCGAAACTAGTCCTGTGAAAACTTTGTAAATATAACGCTGATTTTTGTTGTTTGATTTCTGAATTAGTATTTATTCGGCGTGTTATTGTGTCTTAATTATTTTATCTATATTAGTTAATATTCAAAGCAAATTTTAACCGCAGAAAATTGTATGTAGCACAATACAGAAAAATTTTTGACAGTGCCTAAAATATCAGTATCTCACTGATTTTCTGATTGTAAACAGTTTAGTTTTCGTCTTCTTTAGCATATTCATTGCATAACTTTTGCGTGCATTCCAAAGAAACAGGGTCTTGGCAAGATAAACATAAATATACTGTCTTTCTTTTCTTGCTTGGGGGACACAGACGACATGTTTTCTTTGATTTTAATTTTGCTTCTTTTGTGCACTGCTCCACATCCTTAGACTCAGCTTCTTTTTCTAAAATCCGCTTTATCGTCAGGCGCAATTCTCGATTTATTCTTGGATTTTTCCCTCTCATGTGTAGAAGTGGTTGGACTAATTCTCTCGCTAATTCTTTCGAAAACACCATTCTGGTCATAACATGGTTTTGGTTATAACCTTGGTGCAAAATATATGCGTTTACTGTACTCATATCTACTAACCGGTAGAAAAGAGCCATAGGCCAACGCGTTGTTCTCCTACTACAGGAATGGTCAGAACATTTTTCATCTAAAGCATCAACACAACCTTTGGTTCTGTTATAAAAACCAATTATTTCAGGTGTCTGTGTTTCCGAGTCTGTTTCTATCGAATGATGCAATGATGACATCAAAACCACTGCTCGCCTTTTTTCGCAGAAATTTTCTTCACAGTCATCTTCTTCACTAAAATCACTTCCAACTTCATCTAGAATTTTTTTCAGTTCTTCTGCATAACGTGGATCAGAAGGATAAATGAATCTCCGCGGAACTTACTTCAGAGCCATGTGTTTCACTACTGCCGAAAATTGTAACACTGAGAGGGAGGTGAGGTCTCACAGACCGCTCTAGAAGAATTTCAACAGATACACTTGCCAAAGCATTCTGATAAGAAGGGGTCAGAAAGAAGGTTACGAAACGTGAAGCTAGGGGAAGAATCCATTCACTTGGACAAAGCATGCAATAGGGGTGATGGGAGGAACATGTGGCGCGGTCCGTCAGACCGCACGTCCCCTGTTACGGGTTAAAATTTTCACATTGTTCTATGTCTTAAAATTATAAATTACGGTTAATGACCTAAAATTGCAATAGTACATTACAGTACAAGTGAAAAATTTGACAGTTTCACTCACCCGTGCGTCGGATTTGCGCAATGCTTATGTGATCCCATAAAATGTTCGTATATATTATGGGGTCCTGGGGTCGCGAAAAAATCTTCGTGATAAAAGGGGTCGCGACTGAAAAAAAGTTTAAGAATCCCTACTGTAGCCAATACTGCGTATTTCGTAAATTTACATGGCAGAAAAGATTACTTTTCCCGGGCCCCTTTTACGTGCATCATTCTGTACAAAATTCACATCTAAATTAAGAGTATTATCTACAGCACAGAAAATTCCCTAAAATCATCTTCATTACGAAATACCTCGAAATACTATTTTGTGATTTTGTTGATATCTCTATGAGATGCCCTACACAATCCTAGGATACTAAGAAATCACCGATATAATTCACAGATCATCGGTATATTTAATGCAGCATCGTGTTGTTTTTCTCTACATTTTGGAAAGAACTCGATGATACTTTTTAATTTAGTATGAAAAAAATAGGTAAACAACGGTTTTCAGATAGAGTCCTTTTTTCATAACAAATTTTGACAATTTTTTTTTCAACCTTTTGTTTTAAAAAAAAATTGAAAAATTACGAAGAATTCTTTTTTTCCTTATTAGTCTCCAAGCCATGTTTTTGGCAAAGAGCCATTTTAGTCTAATTTGAATAAAATATTCAAAACCAAATCAGTGTGAAGCAAACTATAACGAAATTTTTCAAAATTACGTGAAGACATTCACCCTGAGCAGGAACTGCATGATTAATAATGATGCTCTTACTAAAAGGTCATAAAAGTTATCTTAGTAGAACATTTATCTCCCCATTTACCCTAAATTACTTTCAACAGCAGATCATGTGCAAATATATACCACATATATTTCTGCAAAAGATATGTTATCTATTGAAATAAGTCCTGTAATCTAATCAATGTGACTTTCTGTTCATGCCCTACTCATTAGTTAGTTTATTTTTCGATGATGCCTTTTTGTCATCTAAAGTGCTATTACAGCTATCTGAATTTTGATTATCTGCATTAAGATGTTATCTGCATTTTGAATAATGAATATCTAGCATCATCAAAGGCACAGTGGACAAAATACTCCGCCGTTTCCCTGAGATAAAACGGTCGGCTCTTGCTGCATTTTTTCTAAGATTTAAAGTTAATTAATTATTAATAAATCTGATATTAAAATGCAAATTTTTTTGGACATAGCAATTTGAAGATTTATTTAAAGCAATATAGAAATATTTCAAATGAAATTTGAAGCTTCGGTAATGAGAGGAAAGGCTTTTGATCATATTTTTTAGATACCGTTCATCATACCTAATAATACGTCCTTAAGCCATTTTAATGCAATGTGTCTTCGCCGCCAATTTATTCTGAAAATTAAACTGCAAAGATCCTTTTCCTGGTTTTCAGAAATTTTTTCGAATCAGATTTTTAATTAATTTTAAATATTGCTTTTATCATCATTGTTAATATCACTTACTTATTGCTATTTATTAATTCTTCCCTTTTTTCTTTTATTCTAATTTTTCAGATTTGTTTATATTAATGCCATGAATAACTCGTGGTATACTTTGCTGAAAGCAAGGAGATAGAATTGAGTATGTAGATATCTGAAATCATATACAAATGCCTAAAATAACAAAACTAATCACCACTCTCCTTCTGAAAGTAAATTGATGTTACACATAAACTTTCAGAGACCGAATAGCAGCTTCTCATTTGTAATACATGTAAATCCAAATACCATAATGTAAAATCTAGCTTTCTTCGCTATCATACAGTTGAACTGATCTTACTAGGCAACCTGGCGATTTCTTGCACAAGCATGAATAATACCAGCACAGAAGAAGGGCAAAATAAACCCTTTTGTATTCGTCTAGCTCATAATACAAACGCACGTACTTAGTGTTCACAATAACACCGACGATTGGCAATGGAATTTAAGAATAATTTAACAGTAAATTTAAAGCTAAATAGTACTGCTGGACTAACAATTTAGATTAAGACTAACTAGGCTGGCCCAACAACCTACCTGGAGATAAGACTTATTAAATGGCCAAAAGGCGTGTCAGGAATTCAGAGTAACAGCAGCAAAGACAAAATAGTAACCTGCGCTAGCTAGCGAAATTAAGCTCTGAATAAACTTCAATTTTCGTCTGTTTTTATATTATTTTCACTTAACTATAAATTTCATCCTGGCGATGAACTGCGAGGGGGAAATGAGAGGTTCAGGAAACATACCAAACTTAAAATAATTTGTTATGCAAACTAAGGGAAGATCCGAAGTTAAAATCCCAGCATCGCTTTTTTTCATGCATCCTTCTGCAAATAAACATTTAATCGCGCTATAAGCATAGCACAAGACCTGATTTAAATTGATTATTTCTCAAAGCAACTCCTTGTAACTATGCAGGATTCATTTCAAAGGTCAGCCAACAGCTGAAGTCGCGTTGCACCCTTTTATATAAATTTTGTCTTCGTCTAGTCTTAATAGACCGGAACCCGAAGGTTGAACAGAAAAGGAGCTAGCTTCTAATGAATTGTCCTCCAGATGGGATCTTTAGCTCCATGTGCTGTTAATTATTGAGATCGGAAATCGGCTTTGTGTAATGGCTACTTAAGAAATAGACTTGAATGACGCAACCTTGATGAAATCTTCAATGACATTATTCGTCTAGCTAAGCAATCTTACTTAATTTAGCTTTGATATCTCATGTTTGGAGAGAAACATGTCCTGGCTAGCTCAAAGAACGCTTGAAAGATTTCCAAAAGAATTCTTATTTTAATTTGGATGTCACAGCAATGATCTGAGATGGAAATCGAACCCAGAATCTCCTGCTCCGTACAATTAAACTTATCCAATGAATTATCGAAGAGAGCAAATGGATTTTAATAATTTCTTACTTAAGAATGAAACTTTATTGGGTAGATTTTGATGACATAATGTGTTGACATTAGTAAACGTGCTGACTGGCGGCATTCTGTACGAGCCTTCAAGACTTTTGT